AAGGGTTTTGGTATTGATAAGGTTATGTTTTATTTTTATGATATTAAGTTTGATTTTGGTTTTGGTTGTATTAAGATAGTATTACTTATTTTTAGTTTATTTAATGTGTAATTTTTTATCCACTGGTAGTTTTTTGTTTGTTTAATTAGTGTTCCAGAATAATCGGCTATACATTTTAATTTTTAACTCTATTTATTGTAGTATCTTTTTTTTGTTTTATTTTTTTTATATTATTTTTGTAAAATGTTTTAATTTTATTATATTTTTAAAGATATTGAAAATTTGTTTGTTGAACTGGATTAGTACCCAGGTAATCAAAATTTATTAATTCGGGAGTAAAGTTTTGTTTAAACCGAAAAAATATTGACTGACTTTAGATTTTTCTTTGGAACATGTGTATGGAGAGTCCTCTTTCTTAGTGAGTTTTATTGGCACATGTATGATTGTTTAGTTTTTATGTTATTTTGTGATGCTTTTTTTTTATTTAATTGAAAAACAGATATATATTTGGTTTATAAGCTTGTTAATCATGTGTTACTATTATTAATTTTTTTTGGATCTTTTTTTTTAATATTTTGTGAAATTGGAAAAGAAAGTAATTAAATTTTGATATTTTGATGAATTTAATAAATAAAGTGGTACAAACCATCCGTCAATGGCCTAAAGGGGCGTAAGTTGTAGTATGGTAGAGGTAAGGAAACTTGTCTCTATTTTTTTAAAAAGTGTTAGTTTATATAGAATAGAGAATTGTAAATTCTTTGGATTTTACTTTGTTTATTTTTTATTATTTTGGTATTTTAATTATGATTGTTTTTATTTTGCAAGCTGTGGCGTTTTTGGTTGTGTTGGAGCGTCATTTTTTGGGTAGTTCTCAGTGTCGTATTGGTCCTAATAAGGTTGGATATTCTGGAGTTTTTCAGGCGTTGTTTGATGGTTTGAAATTGTTTAAAAAGGAGCAGGTTTTGTTTTGTTTTTCTTCTTGGATTTCTTTTTTGTTTATGCCTATTTGTGGTTTTGTTTTGATAGTTTTTTTTTGATTTACTTTACCTTATTTTTTATTTTTTGTCTTTTGAGTATTCAGGAATTTTTTGTTTTGTTTAATAGGTGTTTCTGTATATTTTGTTATGTTGTCTGGTATTTTTAGTGGTGGTAAGTATTCATTTATTGGTGGTATGCGTTCTTGTGCTCAAAGTTATTCTTATGAAATTGCGTTTTCTGTGTATTTGCTTATTTTTTTATTGTTTAATAAGGGTCTTTGTTTGTCTTTTAGTTTTTGTTTGTTTTTTTTATGTTTTTTTTCCTTTTTTTGTTTAGTTTTGATTGATTTGCATCGTGCTCCTTTTGATTTTTCTGAATGTGAAAGCGAGTTGGTTAGTGGTTTTAATGTTGAATACTCTAGGGTTGGTTTTGCTGGTTTGTTTTTAGGTGAATATGGTAACTTATTGTATTTTAGTTGTTTAACTTCTAGTTTATTTTTTAATATGAATTTTTTGTTTTTTATTTTATTGTTTGTTTTATTGTTTTTTCTCGTAGAGCTTATCCACGTTTTCGTTTTGATATGTTAATGAATATGTGTTGGGTTGTTTTTTACCTTTTGGGTTTTATATTTTTGGTTTATCTTTTATTTTTTTTATGTTGTGCTTATTTAGTTTAATTTTGAATAATATTTTGAAAAGATATAGGTTTTTTAGGCGATTATATTGTTGTCTATTGTTTGGTTTTGGTTGGTATTTTATTTATTTGTTATATGGAATT